TTTTTTTACAAAAAGCTGAGATGAAATTAAACGGAAACCCGCTTTGGGGCAGCTGGCCATTGCGGAAGCTCGTTAAAGTTTTTGTGCACTTTTACAACTTTTCAAAACTGAGTTTGCTTTTGAATTGAATTCGCATTACGGCGGTGTATGGGGAAACAGCTTTACAAATGCCTCGCAGTCCATTTGTCATCACTGCTGTCAAGTGCAGGTGCGGAAAGGTGTGCTGTGGTGTTTGTGGCCAATTTGGTGCTCACTTTGAGCAGAACTGCAACAAAACTGCGTTCTCTACAAAGTAACACACCAGACATTATTAAACTGTTCATTGACAGGTGGTGGTGGCTTCTGCATCGCTCCCTCTTACGTCACTCTGAAGCCGATGATTCCGCTGATGGATCACAACTACCAGACGGTGACCAAGGTGCTCAAGTGTAACAAGTGTCGGGTGTGCTCAGAAAGCATCTACTTTCACGGTTACGAGTGCACGCAGGTAGGTGACAGGTAACTTTACATTAATGAACACCACTAACCAACTAAAACTCAATTCCTAGTGCAAAATGGTAGTGCACAAGAAGTGCTCTAGCAGTCTCTTCGTAAAGTGCCCCAACAAGGTGATGCCGCCTCGACTGGCCGTCTTCGGACTGAGCATCTCCGATGACAGCCACGTCTCAGAGGTGCTCAGCGTGTGCATTCGCGAGATTGAAAATCGGCCCATTCACAAGCTGAAGTACATCTACAAGATGGAGTACAACCAGCGGGTGGTGGACAGTCTCTGTCTGAGCTTCGAGTTTGGCGCCCACCTCGTTGACCTGAGCACCATCAACGTTTACAACGTGGCCGGCGTCGTCAAAGAGTACCTCAGTCGGGTGAGAGAACAAAGAAAAGATTGTGACAACTGTGTAAACTACTGATAACACTCACTCTTTGCTTGTAGCTCTCCACGCCCATCTTCTCAAAGTCAGTCCAGGAGGACCTGATCAGCCTGGGCCGTGACTGGCCCGTTCGCAAGGTGCCCTACACTCAGTCAGGCATGGCCATTCTCATCTTTGAGCTGCGTCAGTTGGTCAGCTACCTGAGTGCGCCCTGTCGCAACAATCTGGCCTACCTCATCTACCACTTTCGGCGAGTGGCCGACCGCCACAACATCACCGAGATGACGGCCAACTCACTGGGCGTCGTTTTTGCCAATATCATCTTCCGAAGCTACGAGTAAGAGCCATCATTTTGATGTACTATTTTGTTCTTGTACTAATGATGCTGACAACAATTTGTAAAGCAGTGACAATAGCACTGCTGAGGAGGCGACGAAATGGAGCAATTCAGAAGTGCCTGTAAATGGCACCTCATCAGCGTCATCATCATCAGCCGAGGAATGCACTTCGACATCAGTCGGCTCGCTGATTCATCTGCCCACTACTCCCACCCGAGCCACATCCCCGGTGAGGCAGCCATCAATGACAATCAACGTCGATGTGACGTTTAAAATTCGCATTCTCGAGTTGATGGTACGATGCTGGAGCCCTCTTGCAGTGCATCTTTTCATCACTTTTCTCTCTTGCTCTTGCAGATTCTCTACGTCCACGAAATATTCAGCTAAATATCCCTTCGCTACCAATTCACCACACTCCCTGCTATCAGACAGACTAATCACCTAGGCAATCACCCTTATCGAACACACACACTCATATCACATCGCTGCTGCCTTCAGCGAGGCAACAAATCTTCTCAAATCTTGCGCTTCACTGCAGCTGCCAGCAGCACAGCGCAGCCGCTAGCAGCGGTGGTGCAGACGCCAGTCGCGCGCGCCTTTCCCTCCGCCGACAGTTTTCGCGCTCAACGTCAACATTCCCTTCACTTCACTTCAGTCACTTGCCCCAACAGCCGACGACAAACCGACACTTTCACTGCCAACTCCCGGGCCTTTCCTCCCACCACCACCACCACCACCGGGGCCCACCGTTCTGGTACCAATGGACAGAAGAGCGGTAGATGTGCTGCAGAACAAGAGGTTCTTCCTGGAAGTAAAGAACTCGCCCCAGCTTCTACTGACGCTCACTAAAAACATCAAAGAACTAGGCGGAGTATGTTGTTGCCAGATTTTCCTCCTCCTTATTGAGACGGTTTTCTAATTGGTAATTTGTTATTCTTTCTTCTCCCCCTTCTTCCCTTCACCTTTAGCTTATCGAATCATTCCTCAGCAAAAATGTCAACTATGTGGTCACTAATCGACCAAAGGCGGAATGGCCGCAGAAAGCGGAGCCCCAATCTTCTACGGCCGCCAAAATTAGCTCTAACCAACAATTTGCTCTGGTATGTCGGTTTTACGGAGAGCTAAGTGACAACTTGGTAGTTAATTAAAACAAACTCTTTTTTTATATAGTCTCGGGCAAGTAAAATGCTTCAGTCAACGCAAAATGTGCCAAAAACAACAGATCCTCTTGAAATGGCAAGAAAGTATGACAAGAAGATTCTCTTTGCTAACGATTTGCTCGAATTCTTGAAAAAGTATTCTAGCGGAACCCAGGCAGACGCTGATAAAGCTCAATGCACCGGTGAAATAGGCAATCGCAAGCTTTGTCCTCCCTTCATTAAGGTAGTCGACAAGTCCAACAAGTTCAAAACAAACTTCAAAGAACTTCCCGAGTGGCCTGAAATAAACTTTGACTACCAACCGGAGCTTTGTCCGTTCTACAAACCTCGCAAGTTCCCTAATCCCTCTCAAACGTCAAACAAGTCGGCTGTTGTCTTGGGAAAACCAAATGACCGCTTTCCAACTGTTCTCACTACTCCAATCATGACTACGCCCACCCTCAATATCAATCAAATCAGATCAATTCCCACAAAGAACGCATCAACAAAGCGAAAACATATGGTCTTTTGCGAAATATGTCATAAGGAGTACAACGACTTAGAAGAGGTAAGAGACAGTGAATTGAACTATAAAGCATAAATCTAATTATCATTTTCATTTAGCATCTCAACGACGAAGTTCATTCCACTTTTTTGAATACTGANTAATTATCTAATTATCATTTTCATTTAGCATCTCAACGACGAAGTTCATTCCACTTTTTTGAATACTGAAAACAACTTTTCCGAACTAATAGGCGTCATCAATTCACTACCACCCTTCATCACTGCTACACCTGCCAAAGTGAAGAGAAACTCTCGTAGCAGCAACAAAAGTATTACCGACATCTCAAACCTAATATCAAGAGAAGGTACGCCTTCCATGCCGCCGCCGCCGCCCAGTGACTCTCAGAGCGGAAGAAAGGTTCCTTCTCCGGAGATGCTCTCAATCCACTCGATCAACAAATGGGAGTCAAAGCACGGACACGGCTTCATGGCTCTCCACAATCTAGTGAACGACGAAAATAACGAAATTAACTAATTAACCTTTATTTAGTAGCTTTTTTGTTTTGTTATGAAATAACCCCTAATGAAGAAATCCCACATTTTAATAAACTTTTTTATTATCAAAAAGAGGCCATCTCAGTTTCACTCTGACATTCAAATCATATTTTCTCATGTTTTCAAATAAATTAAAAGATCCATTGCTGTTGTTATAAAAACTTCAATTTACAACACGTGATTGGGGGTTGAATAGGAAGCGGAGAATAAGAGGCGGTGTAGAGGCGATTTGGTGAAACCATCTTTGGGCAGATTTGCCTCACTCATTTGACTGTTCTGCCGCTGCGTTGGCACTGTCTTCCGGGGAAGCACTTTGCCTCTTGCGAACATCCCAATTGTAAATTCGCGCTAGGTTCACTTCGGTAGTCGTCGTCTGTTCTTTGATGAAATCCAAGTCCAACTCCACTTGCTTTAGATTTTTCTTGGCGTTTTCAAGGTTCTTTGAGAGCAGACTCATGGCTTCTTCAATTGGATACTCAAGCATAACATTAGCCTGACAAAGAAAGTACAGTGATTAATTTAGACAATCGCCTAGCAAAGGTGAAGTCCACTTACGCCTAGCCAAAGGCCGACAGTGTTGCCGGGCGTTATTTGAGCTCTTGAGTAAACGTGAGAGTCAAGTAAGTAGCTAGTTTCGAAATCAGCCTTCTTTTCCTATTAAAAGATAACTTTGTTCATTTCAAAAATGACAAACAAACGGCAAACTTGCATATTTATCCTTCAAAGTGCGCAACACCTCCAAATTGTTTTGAATGTCTGGAACTTGGTTATTGAGTTTACTCTTCTTTGCCAGCTGACTCTGCTCCATGTACTTGTACTTCAAGCGCAGTTCGTCCATTGCTTTGAGTACTTCAGTGGCAGTACCGGTTTGTTTTGACATGAAATCGTCAACATCTTCCTACATTTGCAAACAACAAAAAACAAATAAGTCAAGGAGTGCCGGGCCAACTGCTTGAGAAAATCAGACATACCAAAAATTCGGCAACAGGAATGCCCAGCGTGTTTTTAGGCTTTTCAGTAGACATTATCGCAGAAGGTTCAGTTGCAAAAGTTGAAGATGCGAACAGAATTGCCGAAAGAATTGATGAATATTTCTTTTGCGACGATAAATTCTTGAAAGCGTGCAAACAAAAGCCTATTTGCACTTGAACTCCTGTGCCGGGCAGAGTTAGCATAGTCGACACGTGGTCTGTCACGTGACTATTTTTCACGTGTTTTATTTTGGTTTTTCTGCACCAAAAAAGTCTGATTCTGCTTCAAGCAATGCCTCCTTCCACTACAATGGAAAATGATAAGCGGAGTCAGATTGCCGAGCTGAACAAACTGGCCTCGACTATCATTCAGGATCCAATTCACTCGAATCAGATAATCCGCTTCATTGATGCTCTCGCCAATTTGAAGAACTCCAACGCGGAAGATTCTTACATTGAAACATTAATCCGCTGTGTTGCAAAGATATTCAACTTCTTCATTGATTCTCGAGAGTGGGTTCTGTCCAATGATACTGACAGCGAAAGTAAAGCCATCAACTCCTACAAGTCATATCTAATTGGATGGTACGACATTGTCATTGATGAACTGCTGAAAATTGTGAGCAATGAGGGCAAAGCAAAGTTTTCGCTGAATATTCAAAAACTGGCCCTCACTACGCTAATTAAATTCGTGGAAGAAGAAGGTAAGTTGTTTATGCAAAAGACAGTTCAAGTTCTACAACCATTTTTTCGTTTGCAGGGAAATTCCCATTTCGCCCAGCATCAACTGAGCAGGAGTTTAACTTTCCTAGCCAGTTTTTTTCTGCGATCATCCGATCTCTGCTTTCTGAAACTACGTACAATCAAGAGTTGATTGCCGAGTTCGTGAAGTACTACCAGTACGATGACGTGATTCACTTCACACTGAAAGCACTGCTCGAGCAGATTGACTCGTACCAGCAGACGGACAATTCCTTTATCGCACAGAACATTGTCGACCTTATCTTTCCCATTCGCCTGATCACCCCTAAAGACTTGCTGCCTAAAAGTCTAAGGGCGGAGAGTAAGGAGAAAAAGAAGCGAAAGCGATCCAAAGGCGCCCAAATTGGTGGTAGAGAGCATACAAACTTCATGCGACTCTGTGAGCTGCAGTCGTACGCAGATTCGAAAAACAAGAACCCAATCAGGCTGCCCTCCTACCGCTTTAAGTTCGACTACGTCCGCGACGCGAAGCTCTACTCCACCGTCTGGGTGAAGTACCTGTACTTTGAGCTGCAGCCCGCCACCTACAAGCGCGTCCTCGTCTACCTGGACAAGTACGCCATTCAGCACTTTGAGAATCCCCTGCTGCTGGCCAACTTTCTCACGCGCTCCTTCGCCGTCGGCGGCATCATCAGCCTGCTCAGCCTCAGTCCGCTGTACACGCTGATTCACAAGTGCAACTTCGACTACCCGAACTTCTTCGCCCACCTCTACCAGCTGCTGCAGCCCGCCATCACCTACGTCAAGTACCGGGCGCGCTTTCTCTTCTGGGCCGACCTCTTCCTCACCTCGACGCACATCAGCTCGCAGATTGTGGCCGCCTTTGCGAAGCAGCTCGCTCGACTGGCCCTGACCTCTCCGCCCGACACCATCCTCATCATTCTGCCCTTCATCGGCAACCTCTTCATTCGCCACCCCATCACCCAGTCCATTCTCAATGCGCCCACCTTCGAGCCGGAAAGGGACCCCTTCCTGGAGACGGAGACCAATCCGGAGAAGAGCAACGCCATCGACAGTTACATGTGGGAGCTGAAGGCGCTGCAGTCGCACTACCTCCCGGAGATTGCCCAATTGGCCAAGCAAATCTGCGAAGACCTGCCCGCCTTTGAGTGGAACCTCGCCGACGTTCTCGAGACAAACATGGACGACGTGGTGGAGAACGCCAAAAAGACCGTCAAGGCGGACAAGTTCACCTACGATGTGTCCTGTGATCTGTTCAATACCTTATAGCCATTGTTTTACTCAGCATCACTTGACTTTAAAAAGTTATATTACATTCTTCTTTTTCGTTCGTTGCCTAACTAACAATTTTAGTAAGTCTCTTGTAGTTTTCGCTGAAATTTTTCGCGTGAAGCTGATCAAATTGCCCGAGCAGTGATTTGATTTTCGGCTCTTTCAGATTCAGTTTGGCGTCATGAAGCCTGCCTTCAAGCAGAGCTCGTTTCACCGAAAACAGCAAGTAGATTTCATCTGCCTGCAGTGAGTTTGACGTCTTGGCGCGCGAGTCGGCCGCGGAATCGGAATCAGAGGATGACGACGAGCTTTGTGCAGTGCCTTCATCATCTTCATCATTCAAGTTCACCTGAACGCAGTAGGCGTCATCAAAGTGGTAGATATCGTGGAGATCAACAAACTCCAGCCTACAGTCGGCAATCTTGATGGCAGAGCTAATCATCCCTTCGTACTGCGGCAGTGTGGAGGAGAGGGAAGCGACGCGGATGCGCTCTATCAGCGGCTCGCGGTTAATTAGGAAGTTCTGCTTGAACCAGCGAATCTTTCGTTGAATGGCAAACACCTTCTCGTAGTCATCCATGTACGAGCCGTCAAAGAACTGCAGAAGACTGTGCTCACTGGGCGAGGGGTACGGCAGCTGGAGAATACTTCGGTACTGGTAATCCTGTTTTTCAGACTTGCACTGAGCAAAGCTCAAGTGCTGGTAGAGATTTTCAGTGATAAAGGGCATGAAGGGGTGAATCAGTCGTAGTGAGAGGGACGTTACGAGAATGAGGAGGTTCAGCGACTGTAGGTAGTTGGGTCGCTTGTCGATAATGTCGTGCTTGATGCTCTCCAGGTAGACATCACACAGATCATTGATCCAAAACTTTTCAACTTGACAGGCAGCTTTGTGCAGGTCGTAGGACTTGAAGGAGTCGCGGCAAAGATTGCCCAGTTGAACGAACTTGGTGAGAATCCACTTGTCGATGTTTGACAACTGATCAGGTGCCTGAAAAAGAAAAAGAAGTTGTAAAAACTGCACAACCTTTTGCATAGNTGCTTGATGCTCTCCAGGTAGACATCACACAGATCATTGATCCAAAACTTTTCAACTTGACAGGCAGCTTTGTGCAGGTCGTAGGACTTGAAGGAGTCGCGGCAAAGATTGCCCAGTTGAACGAACTTGGTGAGAATCCACTTGTCGATGTTTGACAACTGATCAGGTGCCTGAAAAAGAAAAAGAAGTTGTAAAAACTGCACAACCTTTTGCATAGTACAAACCTACAAGTGAAACCTGCTCAAAGTGATCATCGAGGTGCAGCAAAATGAAGCGCACCGTTTGGTGCATTTTGTTGCTGAACACTCGCTTCTTCACCGTCTTGCTCAGGTCAAAGTTGACCTNTACAAACCTACAAGTGAAACCTGCTCAAAGTGATCATCGAGGTGTAGCAAAATGAAGCGCACCGTTTGGTGCATTTTGTTGCTGAACACTCGTTTCTTCACCGTCTTGCTCAGGTCAAAGTTGACCTTCTGCTCTTTAAAGTCTGACTGCAGCAGAGACAGCCGAAGGACGTCTGCACCGCAAACGGGCAGCCCATTGGGCCATGCTTTGAGCGTCCTCTTCATCAGCTCCGTGAACACCTCATCGGAGATGAGGCCAGCATCAAAGAGGTCCTTACTCTGCTGAATCAGCTGCTCCAGATTGGCGCCCTCAATGAGGTGCATCGGATCGACGACGTTGCCCTTCGACTTGGACATCTTCTTGCCATTCGAGTCGCAGATCATGCCATGCAGCAGCACCCGGTCGAAGGGCAGCCTTCCAGAGAGCTGCAGTGAGAGCATGACCATGCGGGCCACCCAGAAGAATATAATGTCATGGCCGGTCTCCATCAGTGAAAGGGGCAGTCGCCGGTGGTTGGGTGAACCGGTGTGACCGTCAAACCAACCGGTCACTGCCAGAGGTAGAAGGCCAGAGGAGAACCAAGTGTCGAGGACATCGCTGTCTTGTTTGACGGTGATGCTTTCATCTGCACCACTACCGCCGTACTTTTCTGCCGCTAACCTCAGTGCTTCCGATTCACTATTGAAATGTAAAAAGAGGTAAATGAAAGGTTAAAAATATAAAATGTAAACAAACCTTTTGGCGGCAACCCAAAACTCTGTCGGCGCTGAGTCTTTAAGCACCTGAAAAGCGGGAATCCGGTGACCCCAGAATATTTGCCGTGACACGCACCAGTCCTTGTGTCGGCTGAACCAGTCCTTCCAGGTGTTGCGGTAACTGGAGGGAATCAGCGACACATTTCGACTGCCTTCATCGAGACTAGTCTTGAGCTCGTTCCACCGCTGCTCCGACTCCTCGCTCAGGCTGTCTCGATTGACGGTGAACTCCGTTTGGTAGCGAGCATCGTCGCACCGGAGAAACCACTGCGGCACCAGACGAGACTCGATGATGTCACCGCTTCGAGAGCAGACTGGCAGCCAGTGACTGTGCTCTCGGTAGCCCTCGTACAGGCCTCGTCGGTCCAGCTCGGCGCGCACCAGCTCCTTGGCGGCATACCGGTGAACACTGTTGAAGGGCTCGTAGAGACACTGAATATTGCCCTTGTCGTCAAAGATGTTGATCATCGGAAGGTCATGCCGCTGTGCAATCTCGTAGTCTATCAGGCTGTGGGCAGGCGTCAGCTTGAGGACGCCAGTGCCGAATTCCGGCTTCACAGAGGCGTCAGCAAGGATGGGCATCATCTGTCGGGTGAAGGGGTTGAATGCCCGTTTGCCAATCAGGTGACTGTAACGACTGTCATTTGGGTGGACGCAAAGAGCGACATCACCTGCATTGAAATACAAATTAGATCTGCATCAATTTGATTGTCAGCTTACCCATTACTGACTCTATTCTCGTCGTTGCAATGGTGACAAATTCATTGGAATCCTCACTTTCAATCGGGTACTTAAAGTGATGCAAAACGCCCAGTAAAAACTTGTCGCTGCAGCCGGGCACCTCATAGTTGGTCGGCTTGGAAATGAATCGGTGCTCGATTTCAATGTCCGACAGCGTAGACTGCAGGTAGTAACTCCAGTTGACCATGTACGATGATCGGTAGATGAGGCCTTTGTTGAAGAGCTCGATGAAGGCGGTGTTCACGTAATCGGACATCTTAGGCGACAATGTGAAGTAGTCCTTGGAGAAGTCAATGCTGGTTCCCATTGAGCTCAGCTGATGTTGAATCTGCTTGATCTTCGTTTCTTTCCACTCATTAAATATGCTGGCAAACTCTTCTCGAGAAATATCATGCCTGGTCTGCTTCTTCTTGGACCAAAGCAGTTTCTCGATGACCATCTGTGTTGCGATGCCTGCGTGATCAGTGCCGCCGTACCAGGTCACCTTCTTTCCATTCATTCGGTGGTAACGACATAGTGCGTCTTGAATTGAGACGGTCAACGAGTGGCCTATAACAAGCGAGGACAGGGTCATTTAATCGATCAATTTCAACAAACGCTACAAAATTACCTAAATGCAGATTGCCGGTAATGTTTGGTGGTGGAAGGAGGATTCGGAATTCACCTGAAGAGTCACTTTGTGATTTATTCTCAGCAAACAGCTCACTCTTTTTCCATATGTCGCTCCAAAACTGTTCACAGGCTCTCTGTGAGTAGACAGGAGGAAAGTCTGACAGGTACTTGTTGATTTCACTCTGGTAGAAACGCCTGGAACTTCGAGTGATCAGACTGGCAGAAAGGCGCAAATTGCGCTTGTAAAGCCTCAATAAATGGCTACTTTGAGCCCACATCTTCTCCCCTCGCTTCTGTGACCTGACTAGACTGTGTGGTTGTATAAGATGCCTCAACGTGGCCGTTGTTCCAACTGGAAAAAATGCCCGTCTTTTCAAAAAACGATCCAACCCAAGCCGCGGCTGCACAAATCAAAACATAAACAAAATCACATGTTCGCGCCATTCACAAACGCCGTTTCGCGCGCCGTTTGAACTTTGAAGCGATTCTTACTCTTTGCTTCCTAAACACGCAAGGGGAATTGCTCATTCAGTGGCCTCAGGTCGCCGGTGACGCAACACGCTACCACTCAGGCTCACACACCTGACCAAGGACTGCCCTGCCGCTGGCTGGCTGATAAATAGAAGCCCACCAAGTGCTGCTCACGTCTTCAGAGTTAGACGAGAGTGAAAACGCAACTGCCTCGCTGTCACATTCGGTTCTCTTTGAGCACTCTGTTTTCCAATTCACTACTTCACTTTCCCCCCTTCCAAGCTGGCTTTCGTCGTCCGATACTACTGGAGAATGATTCTCTTTGTGCTGGACAAGGTGTCCTCGGTGCCACCGCTTGCCTGGATTCGCCCAAAGTGTATCACACTGTACAATGGACTGCTTCGGCTGGGAAACACGGTTTGTTTCTAAATCTCGTCTCTGTCCTCATAATGACTTTTTTCTCTCTCGCTCACCAGGATGATTCGCTGCTTCCAGCTTTGATGACTCGCTTAGAGCAAGCCGAGAAGACAATCCAAGAGTTGTCTGATCGACTGGTGTCTCTGGAGAGCGAACTGAATCAGCTTCAAACTGATGAAGTAAACACGCCGGAAAGCAGCTCAACTTTCTGTTCCGCCCATCCAAATGCATTTGTGACTGGCCACACCGATGACCAAGCCAGCTCTGACTCGAACAGCGCCAGTGGAGTTGAGGAGCATGCCAAGACAAATGGTGGTCCCAAGGTTGATCATCCTCAGACCAATGGATCAGTGGCTCATCCTCAGCCGCCCCCTGAGCCGCCGAGTGTCGATAACTTTAAGTTCACAAGTACACCCAATCCGGTTTTCCTCTCTCGTGGAAAGCTGCACCACAAGGTCAAAGGCAACAAGTCAGCCGATGCGTCTCCCACCAAAAACCCTTCTTCGGAAAGTGTAGTTGATGGCGAGGACTTCCAAAAAAGCAAGAAGCAAAGGTTTGTTCTGTTTCTCTGATTTCCCTCTGTGTGATGTCTCTGCTCTAACCCAATGCCCTAGCATCAGTCTTTTGTCCAAATTGTCCATGTCCTCATTAGACCAGCAGCCTACAATCAATCAGATTGCCAGCTATTATGTTTCCGGGACTATTATTCCTCCGTCTGAGGTAGAATAGTATTGCAGATTTAGGACACTTCTTTTTTGTCTTCTTTACAAAACCATTGTCTACTCATCAACTAACATACACTCCTTCAATCCCTTCTTCATGCAGAGTCGTGCCAGACGAGCTGATTCAGCAGAAGAAACTCTTGCGCAAAATCATCATGTAAATACAACTTGTTGACAAATAATTGTTCTTGTATCACTCAAATCTTTCATTTCCCTAGGCCGACCGGACAGTCTACCAAAAAGGGCGCCGCTAACCAGTCAGTGGAAGAGGACGATGGCTCGCTCAGTACGCTTATGAAGAACGCCCTAAAGCGCAAGTTTGCTGTACGAATTCTCGCCAAACACGTTCAAACTTCTTGATTTGCTAACACCATTTCTTTCCTACCACAGAATGTCGACCTGAACAGCTTCAACGACAGCCACGCCTCCGAGGAGACTACCATTACAGAGTTCAGCATCTAAACAAACAGAGTAAACTCTCCTCCTTTACACCAGTTCTTACTTAACCCCCCATTCGGCCGATTTTATCAATACCAAATTCAGGATTCTTTAATTTATAAAAATGCGATCGTATACATTCCACCAATAAACTTGAAATGTAACTTTTTATTGTAGTAGTGAAGTATGTAAGTAAAAGAGGCATTGAACTAATCGTCAGCAACCGAGGATTTCAAGTGGAAAATGTGGAAAACTCCAAACGAATGATGCAATAAAAAGAAGAATCAAAGTGGCACAATGGCAATAATAATAACGTGTGGAAAGAAAAGAATGTGTGTGTGTGTGTGAAAGAACACTGCCTGTTCGTTCAATCACGTTCAGGCTCTGGCATGAAGTTGATGGTGACGCACTCTGGATTGTCCAGCTTCTGCATGTGAAGGGGCGACAGAAAGATGAACTGCTTGCTGGAGCGCTCAGTGGCGAACCAGATGAGGGTGTCGATGCTGATCTTCCGAGTGACCATGTCCATGAAGACGTCCACCTCGTCCAGCAGGCGAAAGGGCGACGGGCAGATTTGCCAGAGGGCAATGATGAAGGCGACGGTGGAGTAGGAGCGCTCCCCGCCAGACAGCGACTTGGTGGTCGAGTAGATGGAACTGGCCGCCTCGGTCGCCTGACTGCTGCCGTTCTCGCCGACAAACTGCTCCTTGTTGCGCGGGTAGATGACCACCTCCAGGGTTTGCGCCTTCTTCTGCTTCCCATCCTCGCCCACCATGTCGTAGAAGTACGGCGTTATGGAGCCGCTAAACTCCTTCTGCTTGAGCACGTGCGAAAAGAAGAAGTTGATAACTCGGGTCATGTAGTAGCGCATATGGTGGTACGCAGCCTTGCGTTTCTTCATCGTCTCCTTGAGCAGCTCAATGTAGTTGTTCATGATCTGGAACTCGCCGGCGAGTCGTTTCACTACTGCCATGAGATTCTTGTACTCCGCAACCACTTCCCTTTGCTTCTCAGGATTGGCCATCTCCTCGTTCTCGGCTATTATCTCCTTAAACCGCTCAATTTCCGCCTTCACGTCACTCAGCGTACGTTCAGTTTCTATAACTTCGCCATTGGTGCTTTTCAAAGCAGCCTCGCGGGAAATATTGTACTGCTCAAGTTTCTGCTGAATGACCTCTTCTGATTCGCGCTTTTTACTTAAAACTTCTTCTTTGAGAGCATTGATTCGTTCGATTTGCTGTAAAAAAGATGGTCATTTTAGTCAATCAATTCTTTTGAAAAATATTGCTTTTTTACCTTATTCAGCTGAATCAACTGATGGTCTAGGTTCTCAATCTTCGCATTTGTAGGCACACGTGAGTGCACCATTTCATTGTACTGCGTTTCCTTTTCATTCTTTACATTGGTCTTCTGAGTGTACACCTCCTTCAGTTGATTGCGCTCCTCCATGCACTTCTTCTCTTCGATCTCAAACTGTTCTAGTTCCAACGTAAAGCGCTCAACATCTTCCTTCAGAGCGACCACTTCAACAGGTTGAATTTGAGCCTTTTCCTAATAAAGAGTATGAAAAACAATAATGACAATGAAAAACCAATGAAAACAAAAACAAGAAAAACACTTACCATCAGATCGTCTCGCTTCTTTTTCATTTCAATCAACTTCATTCGAATCTCCCGAAACGAAGCATCCGTCTGTCCAATCTCTTTCGTGATAACACCCAGCTGTTGATCAGCAGCGTTGATCTCCTGTCGAGCCGCAGTGGAAGCCTGCTTCTGAAAAGCAGCAGTATTTTTATACTCCGCAATAGCTTGAGTGAAATCACGAATTAAGTATGTCGGAGTCTTTGAAGGATTCTTGTTCGGGTAGCATTTGTAGTCGTTTCTATCGGTGGCAGGCATCATAGTATCGCCCTGTTCAGTGAACGCTTTGATGCAGTTGCGAGGAGCAGTTTCGGGATTAATCAGCAGCCTTTGGGCTTGGCGAAAGTTGGGAATGTAGAGCATTTTCTCAATGCTGAAATGATCAATCAGACAGTTGGCAACTTCGGGCTCTTTGATGTTGAACAGCTGAAGAAAGTTGGGAAACTCTGACTGAGCCTGGTAGTGCTGGACGTCATGAAGCGGGGCGTACTTCCGGACGATAATATCAGGATGACTATAAGCATTCGGACCATAGCACTGCAGAAAAATCTTCTTGAGAATTTTGCTGTCATCAAAGTTGTCCACAATGAAGGCACACAAGGTATTCTTGTTAAGTAGAGTTTCAGCCGCAAACGCTGCACTGGGATCCTGAAGTTGAATGTACTCGCCGATTGGACCAAAAGGCCGTCTTTTGAAGTGTCTAGCTTGCACTGCCGCTTCAATTTCCGTCATAACACGACTGGTGTTGGGCTTATAACGTTCATACCGATTCTTTTGAGACCGATTGAGACGCTCTATTTCGGAATTGGCAGAATTAAAGCGCGCAACAGCTCTACGTTCATCTTCAGCATAATGGGAACGTTTCTTGCTCAACTCCTCTCGTTCAGCCTGTAGCTTTGCAATCTTTTCCTTGAGAGCATTCTGCTCTTCTTCAACAGTTTCAATTTGAGCTCTGATTTGCTCAATTTCAGCTTCAAAGTCAATGTTCTCTCTTTCTCTACAAAAGCCAAAATTTTGAGGTTATTCAAATGCATCAGAAAATGAAAAAATGGCAACATTACCGGTTCTGCAGCTCAATGCCCTCGATTCTAGTTTTCACAGTTCGGATGTTTTGCTTGTTACGACGAATTTCAGTTGTCAGTCGATTAATTTCTCGCTGCTTTGAAGCCAGAGCTCTTTCAGCATTCTCTGACTCAGCTGCGGCAGCATCGAGTTCGAGTTTAAAAGCTTCCACGCGACTAGTCAGATTATCCACATCCTGAATGAGCTCGTCTTTTTTCGACTGAAGGTGCGCCATTTTTTGTGCAGACTCCTCGCAGTTCTTGTTGGCTTGTTCATACTTTGCCTCAAGTGCATTAAAAATGGCCTGCTCTTTATCAAGATCTCTCTTATTTGAATAGCAAATAGCCCAGAACGATTCTTGTGCCAAAGTCTTCATTTTCTCAACAGAAGTTTGCAACATTTTGATCACTTTAACTTTTTTATCGTAATTTTTCAGCGTTACTTGGTACATCTTAATAGTTGAGCATTTATCCTAAATAAAAACCATACTTAGTCAGTGAAAAAATAATTAACATTTAAACTTACTTCAAGCACTCTAACAGAGTTATCTTTGTGTGAAAGAGCAGTTTCATAGTCTCTTTTAACATCTTCAAGTTGGGTGGCTTTAGTGAAAAACTTGAACTTGTCTTTGGGGTTTTTGCTGTTCAGAAAGTTTTTAGATATTTCCTGAGTGAGCACGCACACCGGGTTGTCCACCAGAATGTCGAAATGCTTAGTAATGTTGTCCACCTCTTCCTTCTTTTCGGAAATCACTTTACCGTTCTGATCGCGAATTTTGTAGTTGCTGACGTTCGTCGCGTAAATCACACGCTCGATAATGATTGTTTTGCCGTACATGTCCGGACGATAGCCTTCGCTTTTGGTTTCGTCGTCAATGTAGTTGCAAAGCTTGATGGTAATTTTGGCACGACTTTGACCGGTTTTAATGAAACTACTTAAACCAGAGCCTCGGTTGGTGTGTGAAGAACGACTGCCAAAGCCTAGAATAGTCGCCGCAAGAATAGCAGATTTGCCGCCTGAAAAAGAGGAAAAGGATTAACAGGTTGTCAATCAAAAGGTTACCGATCGCACATACTTCCATTGGGGCCAATGATAAAGTTGATGCGAGGCCCGAGGTTGACAGTGAAGTTCTCGTGGCACATGAAGTTCTGCAAGACGATCTGCTGAATGTGTCCCGGTTCGCCTTTGGTGTTGATTTGCTGCATAGCTTCATTGTTCTCCGAGTGAAGGGCAGCAATGCGATTGTCAATCTGAGACCGGGTCACGCCGCCGTTATTGAGGTCCTCCTCATCGGCCACCTCCATGTCAACGTCGGAGCCTTCCGGCACCTCCGTCGCATCCAAGTCCACCGACATTTCGGCATCGGAGTCATCGCCATCGGATACTGACACCATCTCCTTGATGATCTTGAGATGATGAAACTCGGCTTCAGGGGAAAGTTGTGTCGACTTTCAACGGAGCGTGTTTACTTTGCCGCGCTCAGTTAGCCTAGTAAAGCTGACAGTTGAAACATATGCAGAGCGCCAACAATAACAGCTTCAGTGAGGCCGTTGATTCCCCGTGACAAAGAATGTGAAGACTTAGCTTTGGCAGCGCTCCAGGGGGCAGCACAGTTTAGAACTGTGGAAGTGAATCTTTGTCTTTTCTGTGAGCACGAGCCAAGAGCTCTAGTCGTCGTCACGTTACCGTAGTCTGTCTGTCCGTCTGAATGCACACTTTACACAGGCTAAGTTTCACTTCTTTGTTTTAAAAACTTGCTTTTTCTTTTCTGTTTGTCTAAAAACTAAATACAACTTTTATTTAAATTAGTACAAAAACTTAATTTTATTTTTAAAACAAAAGTTGTTTAGTTACAAACGTTTTATTTGGTAATTAAAAGTTCTAAAAACGCAGCGTGTAAACTTGGCAAACTACAAAAGCCCGCGAAAATGTAGCAACGAATTTGAAGCGATCCAATACCGTTTTGCGCTAACGGTCTTATTGCATTTTAATTCAAATCAGCAGTCGTTGCATCCGCTCAAGTAATTTGCAATCTTTTTGTCGCTAATCTTATCTTTTCTGTTGGATTCATTACATAAGCTATTTCCGCTTCGGATTACCTCAGCATCTCTACAATTGCATTTTACGATTTTACCATTTGTTGTAGAAACAAACTAAATAGACAAAGGAGAAACTCATTTTCTTTAGAAATCCAGTAAATCACATTATATGCTCTTGCTCAAGTAAAAAGCTGATCGAGCTGATGCCTCCCATCACTTCATTTCTCTGCATTGGGCAAAAATAACTTAAGGTTTGGCTGGTTTTGCGTCACACCAATAAATAATCGTTTTTAGATAATCAGCTAATTGTCGCCTTTTTGTCAATACACACTTTTCATTTGATTTAATCTGTTCTGGTATAAATGATTCGCTAACAAGCTCATATGTGCAGGGAACGAAAGTTTAAAATTCAATGTCAACTCTAAAGAATGCTTGTGCAGATTTATTTACCACGCTTTTTGACATGACACTCATTAAATGCTTCGTGCCTCGATTTTATTCAGTGTCCATCGACTGTCGAAAATGATGGCAAAGCTCTACTTGACAGCAAAAAAACTAAATCAGTCAATAGCTTCATTGTAATAGATTGATGTTCATTCTCTTCGATGTGAACTGAATGTGCTCAATGAAAGAACGGATGTGAGTGTGTGCTTGTGCTTGTGCTCCATTGACACTGAATCAGATGGTGGAGGAATCACACGACTAGTGGAGTTATTTGGTGGTCAAGCTCACTTCAACTTGGCCACCACTGAACAAAGGGGGCACGATCGATCAAAATGTGTGTGAAGAAGAAGGCGAGCATCTCACCTCACCTCCGACTGCTTCCAAGACATCTGTCATTGACACCGTTTCCCTCAATTCCTCAGCCACTGATGATGATGATGGTCATGGTAGTGGTCACTCATGTCCATCACCTCAAGTCGACTCAATCCATCCAACTACCTCAAATGTAGACCGCATTCTCTCCTAAACACGACCTTTTTCTCCTTTTTAAAGAAGTGCAGTTTTCTCTCTGTTGAAGCTGGAAATCCGTTTAAAACTGATTAGTGGCATTCTTCAAGTTCTTTATGTCTGCCTCAAAAGACGCCTATTCAAAGCATTTCGTGAGGAGGTAAAGTGGTGTCCACATGTGCGCTGATACCTGTCCGTGAAATTCATCATTGACCATCAAACAGCCGGTAGTACTGTTTTTGGTGGAAGATCTAAGCATTGAGCTTCAACGGCAAAGCTTCCGAAGCCCTTCTGACGCCGACCACGAATGCTTCATCACTATATACTGCACTACACACACACTCTTCAGTAATGATATATAAATTGCGCCTTCTCTTTCTCTCTCTTTCTCTCTCTTTCCGTTTCTCTCCTTTTCTCTCTTGGACTGCCTTCTTCTTCTTCCCTTTCTTCGTTGCAGCTAATAGCGGCATTATCGTTATTATTCGACGGTGGATGCCAGCCAGTGTCGTCCGCAGCAGTACTGGTGCTTGTGCTGGAGGCAGCATTCGGACACAGCAGCCGACACTCAGTCAGTCAGTCAGTTAGCAGCGAAGAGAGCGGCATGATGGTCGCTCGCTGTCTTCTCTTCTTCACTCACAGACTTCTTCCTCTTAGAGTATTGCAACCTGCTGCTGCCAACTACACATACCTACTCCTAAGAACTACCACCACCACCACCACCACTTGAAGAACTGGCCAAGCAGTTCAGACGACCCTTTGGACAGTGCAGACACAACTCACACTGCCGTTTTCATCTCCTCAACTACTTCTTCATCTTCTTCCGACTGCAATCGCTCCTATGATCCCTGTTCTGTTGACTAACTGTTGAAGAATTGACTTTGCCGGCAGCAGACGATACTGAACCGTCGGCAAAGAAAAAGAAGAAGAGGAAGAAGCCGGGATATCAGTTGTCTGGGCATGAGAGAACGGTCGTTCAGCTATTCACTCGAGCACCACTCTTCACAAGACCGATTACCAGTGTGCATTGTGAATGCAGTTGTGAGGCAGGGCGCCGCCAATGACTGCCGGTAATCCTTCTTTTTTACTGTTTGACCAGCATTCGCATCTCACAGCATTCGACAGGTCGAGGTAGTTTGCCTTTTCCCACCAACAACATCAGCAGCACAGCCTGATCTGCACTGATCCGCACTGACTGCCGCCTTCCACTTCTTCCTTTCCTTCTTTCCTTCTTCGATCATTGCCACCAGCACTGCACTGCACTCCACTGCTCTCCTGCATCCGTTACTCTGAACGATTATTCAATTGAAGCTGCTGGCGCCGTCCAGCACTGCCGCATCCGTCTGCACTGACAATTCATTGCTTGAGCTGTCTCTGAGCATCGCAGTCAGTCATAGCAGAGTGAGCAGTGAGTCTGTGAGCAAACAGTGTGCACGCCAATCAGATCTCCTCCGAATGGTATCACTGTAGTCTGATCATCAGAAGGCATCGCCATCGTCAGTATCAGCACTCATCGTTCCTCAAGCGAATCCAGTGTCTCTTCTACCTCTCTGTCACTCTCTGTCACAGCACTCATCCTCTTCTGCTCTATCTGCCGTTTCATCTCAGCCATCAGCTTGTGTTCCTCATTTTCATTCCGCGCCCTTCTCCACTTCTCAGTGCACTTTCCATCAAAAGAGGAGCCGCTATTCTGCCGCAATTTGCAGTGCAGTGCTCGCTCTTTTCTGCTGTTGCTCAAGTTGAAGCTGAAACGGTGCGACGTGCTGACACTTGTTGTTGCTGTGTTTGTTGTTGATAATTGTCGCCCATCGTTTTTTGTCGCAGCACTTATCTGCGGTCGCATCATCATCGCCAAAATGCAGCGTTTCCTGTTCTGACCAAGCTGACCTTTGGCTACAACTCTTTTTTTCGTTCCATGTCAACGATGCCTTTTTAGTGCGTCCAGATGTGTGTTGTTTGTGTAGGCGAGGTGTGTTTGTTTTCTGTCACCTCTACCATTCAATGAACCAGCTGTGTATTTTTGGGTTTTCCACCAAGTGTGCGCCTCTTCATCATCATCATCATCATCGCCGTCCATCTGCAGCCCTTTACTCTACCACTACTATCATCACTTGAATTCAGTTGGTCATTTTCTTCATTCCTCCCCCCACCAAGGTGAGCCATTGTAAAATGTATTTCTTGTGCATCATCATCATCATCAGAAGTAGAAGGACTACCACCGCGTGCATTGGCATTCACTAGCAAATGATCACTGCTAAAGCTGACAAGTGTCTGTCATAGACTGTGTGTGGCTCATTCTGACAGTCAGCTGTGGCTCATTCAATCTGCTGAATTGCACATTTTCGAGTTTGCTGTTTTTTCGTTCCGAACATTATACCTTTTTGCCCTCACACGCGTTCAGCACCATACTGTTCGCTGACAGAGTTAGAAGCAGTAGAAAAGGAGGAAGAAAGAGTGAAAGCGCAAGATGTCTAATCTCTCGAATTGTGCATTTCATTCTGCCATCAAAGCTGCAACGGGTTGTACCACGATCATGTGTGTTTGTGTGTGTCTCGTGTGTTCTCTTCGCAGTAGTGATGACTGAATTTGATAGTGCACCACCACCAGTGAGTGCCATGTGAGCTGACAGTGAGAAGGAGAGACTCGAATTGATTCAAGGCGATTGCAAGCTAATTAATACGCCTTTGATTGTCTTTCACTGGTGCACTCACTCTTGTGTGAGGCAGCACTTGTCGGCGTTGCCTGCATTGTCTTGCCTACCGTGCACTCGGAACTCCTATTCGATTGCACGCCGCAGCAGCAGTGGTGATTATCAAAATCAACACTTGTTTTTGCTGCTGGTTGTGATGGTGGTGATTGTGGTGGCTTCATTGAACACCACCATTCGCATTCGGATGCTATCAGCCTTTCACGGCGGTTGTCAGAGCTGTCAATCGGCGGCAGACTGACTGCTGTCGCTGTCGGTGATGGCATCTCAATCAGTTGGGCAAGCACTGCACATGCAAATCCAGTGTTGTCTGCTCTACAGTCTTCATCACCGTTGTTTGCCAACGACAACGACGGCCAACGAACTGTTGTTCGGCTCCTGTTGTCTGCTGCTGTCTGAGCTGTCTGAATGGCGGTGCTTCCAACGGTGAATGTGTGCGAGTGCGAGTGTTTGTCAATCGCTGCCAACACGTCGTATCCTCTTCACGTTCGTTTGTTCGCTCACTTGTCTATTCAATCTGCGCTAATTGTCGTCCATTAATCACAATCATGGCTGCTGCTGCTGTTGTTTCTGCTACTGTCGTTGCTGTTACTCACACTGCCTCGTTTCTCTCACCGCTAATGACTGCAACCTTGATGACACACTCTCACTGACTCGGCGACTTGACTTCTCTCTTTCTCTCTCTGCTTCAAACAATGCC